TGTAATTTGTTGAGGTAAAATAAAACAGAGTAAAGATTAAGATGAAGAGCTTCTATGAAAATTAGTATATTTACAGATTATAGGCAGCGGGTTAGGAAAATAAGGATTCAGATAAAATCTTATCCTCCCTACTAAAATCATGCCATCAAACAGGTTAGTAGATGCAGCAAGGCTGTGCAATCAGGTACATTTGGAAAAACATTAAAACTGATCTGTAGCCACTTCAGGAAAGAGTCAATATTTTGATGTGCAATTATATTGTTAGTTTTATTACATGGCTTTGTATTTGAAATCCTTTAAATTCTCCCTATTAAAAGCTCATGTAGGGTAAGAGTAATGTCTGACCCACTATGTGTGGAAATCCCTTCCATTTCGGACAGTGCAGCCACCGACACTCCCATCACTCCATCCACAGCAACATTTCATTTTAATACCATGTAGTGGATGGTACTCAGTGGGAAGGGCAGGTTTTCCCAAATCCCTCCCTTGGACCAGTGCCTGTACGTCCGCTCTGCAGCCAGACACCTTTGCAGGAGCCAATTCTTTAAGAAATGATAACGTGAGGATAACATTTTCAGAAAATCCACTACTTTGTCTTTACATGTCAGTTTCTAGATGGCTACAATTCAGTTTTATTGCAAATAGCTCAAAGCTTTGCTGAATGTCTGGCCAATAAGGACATCACAGTGACCGATACAGGTCTAACATTGTTGGCTCAGTCCCACTATCTGATGTCCTTGTCAGCCATGTACACCCATCACTTAGCAATTATCATAACACCATAACAGCCATTCATTAAAGGGCTACTAATCCTAAAATATATTTGCCCATACAAAAGTAGTCACTAGTCACCTTTAAAGCTTGCCAACACAATATGAAAGGTAGCTTAAAATTCATGAAGACATGGAACATTTTAGATTAGACAAATCCCATCTTAGGATAAATAACCCCCCAAAAAAATCAAAATAGTTTTTAAAATGATTAGGTCCCGTTATCAAAATGCATTTTATAAAGAACTGTCTACAATTATTCATATGATAAAATTAACATTTCAGTGTGGGTAAAATACAAGCGGGAACATCCAGTTCTTATGAAAAGGGCCACAGAATCAAATGTAGCATGCAGGAGCTGGAAGTAACACAAAAAAAATGCCATGAAGTGAGTCACTTTAGAGCAATTGTAAGCTACTAGCTAGGTCTCGTTCCCACCAGATTTGTCATCTATTTTGCTGCATTTTCCTGCACAGGCAAAACACATGGATGTCAGAAAATACAAATGGTTTTCAAGTGAATTTGTTTCCACTAATGCCCCCGAGTTGGAACAAATCCTGCATGCTGCATTTTGGGTGTGTTGTTCTGAAGTTTGTAATCCAAGTCAGATAAATGGTGTTTTTGAAAAACATAGCACAACACACACCAGCAAGTTTTCTGTACGAGTAGGCCCATATTTTGTGTAATGTGTTTTGTGCAAATTCATAAATAGGTGAGACAAACCATGCGTGAGAAGGATGCAGTGCAAGATGTTACCAACCCAATAACCAGATGTCTGCAAGTGCTGACAATAGGCCAAGAATTCCCAAAAATCAAACCAGTTTAATTCTTTAGTTAGTCATGTATTACCCCTCCACCAGGGAAAGGGATGGCAACATGCTATGCTATTTTAATTATTATATAGTTATATTTTGTGTATGGAAAACATGGACTGACTCTGGTTCTACCTGCATGCGCAGGGTATTGTTGACAGAACAGTGTTGATAGGCACACAGCATTCTGAAGGTAAGGATGATAATATAGTCTCTTGATGTAGGCAAAAAAGTTAATATCTGAAGAAATTTCACTGAATAGAAGTTGAATGGAGACTAGATAACATCAGTGATAATTGCATTTGCTTCCATTCCTGCTACCCCGAATGTTCCACAGCAAGTACTTTGCCATGTCTTCACAAAGCGGGTGGCAGAAGCAATCAGATAATCGAGGTAATGTACAAACCCAAAGTAGGTCTCCTCCTAAATATTACCCCTGTCTAGGCTCCCTAAAGGCCAAATGAATCTTAAGATTAAATCATGTAAATACATTCCAAGCACATGAAAACAAAAGTGATGCAAAGCTTTAGTTTGTTTACCTTAGAATGCAACCATAGTCTAAGTAAAAAAAACCCTGTCCACACCCGTGAGGAAGGAAACACACCAGGTAGACGCACGCCATGCTATAGGTCTCGGCACAGAACTGTGTGATCACGGTATACGGGTACTTCATAATGTATATTATGTACGGACAACGGTTTCACCGTATGGAAGTCTGATGGGACTGACTTGTGGACCACTCTTGGAGTGGATAAGTACCTGTACTCCTTACTTGTGTGCCTGCATATTGGCCTGACTAAATGACCTTTTGATTGTGGACATGCTGTATTGGTGCAGATGCATCTGCAAGAATGAAGTTGTTAAACGCTGGATTCTATTGTGGATGTATGCAAGTGTTATACATATTATGCTTCATCAATGTGCGCTAAACATACAAGAGGGGCTGCTTTGGACAACTCCTTGCTCACTATCATGAAAGAACATATATGCATGATAATAAGCGGATTGATGTATGATAACGCATGTGGACATAGAGGTTTATCCATCTGGGCAATGTTTGAGCACATTTGCCATTGGCAACAATAAGACTAAACCTCTTGTCACATGATCAAATGATGATGCTATGATATTCATATGATGTGAAATATAAAGGTGATGCAATTCAAGGAAGAAATGTATGAACAGCTGTTCTATCAGTTTTTATATATTGGTGCACCAAAAGATCTTAATATATATGCATATACAATATCAGGATACAAATCATGTGAACTTTATTATCAATATATTATGGAATTACCGTGCTGGAGAAAAGGTTATTAGTATTTTTAATAAATATGTCTGTTTTCTTTTTAATGAAATGAGTAAATATAAATACATTTTGTATGTTGATGATTATGATTCTTGCCTAGGTATCGCAGTTATTTGATGCCTATTTGGCACTTTGTACATTATCATAGAGCGTTTACGCCTGGCAAAAAATTAGGGATGTAGAGTTAACATATGTAGTCTCTCCGCTAACTAAGACCCCTTTATTTCATATTTGTAAAAAACCCTGTACCCTGCCAGCATGCTGCAGAGAAGGACCCTGGCTCTTTGTAGAAGCAATAGTCTCTCTGCAGAGGTTCAACACACCCCTTTCTAAATCAGACCTGTAGCTCTGCACCCAGCAAAGTCTACGATCCCTGCTGACTGGACAACTCTAGTTTTAGCTCTGCAGGGGCGTGTTGGACTTCTGCAGAAAGACCACTGCTTCTACACAGCGAGCAAGGGGCTGTCTCTGCTGCATGCTGGACAGTGACATGTATTCCAACTCAGACAGTGGTTGCTTTCTAACAAAAACAAAAACTTTGCACACCTTTTGTTTTAATACACCTGGCATGTATTTAGTGGATATAAAAATTAAAAGATCCATTGTGCTTTAAGAGGCAAGCGTTATGTACCTGGAACCACTTGGTAACTAGTACGGAAATGGACCGGTCTCAGGGACCACAGACCTGTAGTAACCCCATGTAGGGAAAGGTTAAATGCTGCTGTCAAAATAGAGCTGCTTTTGCAGCATTGTTTTAGAAGGTGCATGCTTTGCTTTAAAGCTTCGGAGAATGAACCTTTAAAAACAACAAGTCGGTAGTGGCTGCTCCAATACATTTTACATAAGAACAGTACACTTGTATATAGAATTATTTTTTTAATTCCTAAAACTAGTGAAATAAAACCTTAGCTTTGCTGTATGTCTTTAATTTTCATAAAACAGCCTTTTTGTGACCATGTCAGATTTTATTTGTAGATATTAAGAAACCAGGGAGCTATCTTCAGGAAACTTAATAGGAAACCTCCGGTCTTGGCAAAAACCAGCGAATTGAATGTATGACTTCCGGTGATTTCTAGAGAGCGAATATCTATGCTGTAATAGTTGGGGAAACGATGCTGTTTACACAGCCATGTCCACAGTCATTTTGACATCCCTCCACAAGTTTTTTCATATCAAAACACAAAAGTCACTGGTTTCTTTAATCTACAAATGTGGGTATAATGCGAGTTCTATTTTAGTTCTACGGTCTTACCCTTATAATAAATGTGCCAAAGACCACACAGCGTGATCAGTAAAGTGAGGAGGAGGCGTGTCAAACCAAAATGTGAAAGTGAAGCAATCTTGTTTGCAATTTCTTTTGTGTATTCTTTGCTTCAAATACAAAAGTCTAGACAGCCCGGTCAAGTGACATGCTGTACGGTGCAGGAGAGGCCTCCCTGGGCACTCAAGTCTTAGCTTACAGACGGCTATGCACCATTCCCATTAAAAGCACTAGATCCTAATGATTGGCCAAGTGCTGTCACATGAAGGACAGCCACGAGCTTCTCCGCACATGGAAGGAAAGGGCTTTTCTTTCGTCACTCTCAGAAGCTGATCAGATTGGCAGAGGAATAGTATGTATGTGCTTCGGAGGAATAAGGCAACCCATAGCTTTGCTTTAATAACTCATCTAAGTATGTACTTTGACCAAGAGTGTCCAAAACTTTCATAGCAAACATAGACAACCCATCCAAAGCCTGACAGTTTTGTATTTAAACGCCAATAAACCTACAGATTTATTGTTTCCGTTGGACTCTAAATGTTTGATTTTCAAACTTTGAAATACACCCATGAATTATGAGAAAGAGCTCGGGACCTCTGTGCTATATTGCAAACAAGACTCCTCCAATTTCAAGTGCAGAGTACAGTGCTACCAATAAATTCACACAAGGGAAGCGTTAAGCAGGAGAGAAAACTGTGAGCATTGGAATGGTGGTCCTTTTTATTTTTAATGAAGAGGAGAGGAGAGGGATCCTCTTATCTTTGTGGAAAGCAAAAGCGAGGCTTGTGAGAATTACCCATATATTAAAAAGACACAAGAATGCTACAAGTACCATAAATGAAAGAATGCACTACAAACATCAGCATTTATTCATATCCAACTTTTAGCAAATGACAAAATAGAGTCTTCTTGCTGAAATTACACAATAACTGGCAAAAAAGTGCTAAAATGTCAGCACTCATGCACAAACAAATAAAAGGGGAAAAAAAAAACCCTGAAATTATGAAAACTGGAAATGCATCGTTTTACATCCTCTCGTTTAGGAAGATGAGAGTCCAGACTGTTACGTGTTTTGCTGGGAAAGTTGGACTGAAAGCAAGGTGGACAGCTAACACTTTGTTCACATTTTTACACAAAATGAGTAAAAAGGAGTCATGCGGTTAGTGAACGCTGCGTTCAACCACAAATGAAATATCACAGCTCACTTCTTGTTCAACCCTCACGGCTGCCAAAGGGCTCCCCTGGTGCACTGTGCTACAGTGGCCCACATGGCAAATTCAAGGTAAACTTTTAAAAAGTGCAAACAGAAACATACAATATTAAGGGGGGGGGAAAGATCGTATGGTCCTATGAGAGTGGTCCCAAAAACAGAACTGAGCGTCTGACAAATAAGAGAAACTCTCCACGAGCTTCTTTTACTTGGGTCTTAGATTAAGTACAGATACACTCTGAACAGTTCTTTAGATTTCTTCAAAAATGCTCCTGATAATCCACAAATGGTGCTTGTTTAGGTTAATATTTCTGTTACATGCGTGCGTTGAATTTTACTTGTTATCCAAGCGTAGCATCTGCTCCTTACCATTAATTGTTAAGGACTTTAACTGGCCGTCTTCTTCAACTTCGACTCGTTCTTGACCATTCTCAACAATCCTGCACAAGCAAAACAAAGCGTCAGAGAAGCGGAGTGATCAGGGTGGAGTGAAAAAAGAAATGATTAAGTTTAACTTCCGTGGCACATAGAAAAGTAGGATTTATTTAATGGGAAAGAAAAGTTTGATGGGAGGTGACACATTCAACACTGCTTCTATCCAGCTGTGAGCTAGACAAGCAATTACAACTGAATTAAGCCATTTCCCAGCAGCTGTTTTGTCTGTATGAATAAGGGCTCCTATAGGCCACAAATCTAACACAAAAAAAAGAATGGGGCCAGAAGGAATTTGGACAAAGAATTACCCTAAAGATGGGAAAGAAAGGCCAACAAAATATCTAAATAGGAGTATGCAGAATATGTGAAAAATGCAGTGTTGGCCTTTAGGGCAATGAGGGTAATGCTACCATCCAGCAGGATAGATCCAAATGCATAACCATTCTCTGCAAAAACAGCTCATTTCACCGGCAAAAATTCAAGATAAAGTAACTTAACCACAAAGGCTTCTTCTAGAGAGCTGCTGTCCTGTCTGCCCAAGCATGTTCTGAGCGTGGAAGGTTGTCGAGTCAGGAAATTTCACACGCTGCGGGGCTGTAATGCGAAGCATGCCATCCCCAAAAGTTGGCTGTTTTAACACTGCTTTAACTAAAACATCTCCGCCAACCCTTAAGTTCCCATAGCAAAAGGGAAAACAAAAAAAACACCCATGAACTTGTATGTAAATATTTGTGCTATTAAGGAAGCCAAGGATCCCTTGTATTATTCTTGCCTGACAGGAATTTCAACACGAGACACACAGATTGGTGATGCAAGGCAATTCCAGGAACTCATTTTACATTTAAAATTAAAAAAAAAAAAACGGTAAAAATATATGTTAAAAGAGTCGTTCTATCCTCCTTCCAATCGTTAACCAAGGCAACATTGTCTCTGGTACCAGGTACTGAAACTGTGCAGGTTTCTCTTACAATGATAAAATGGTGAATGTAAAACTTTATACCAGCCTCTGCCCCCCTTTTCTCCAAATTCCCCATTGTGGAGTAACCCGTGTCTGCCAGCATTCCTACACCTGTCAGATAAATTATTGTGGGCGAAGGGTGCTATTAAATACTTACATCAGCTCTTGTCCGATGGTCACCAAGTCCTTTGATGAGTTCAGGAGTGAATTTAAACTCCCTAGAGTGTTTTTTCAGATATCTCCAGCTCAGACATACGACTGTGGCCCACGTTGGGCTCCATGGTGTAGGTTTGTAGCCTCATGTGGTTGGAAAAATTAGTTTTTGCACGCGCGTGATCAGCGTGTGGTTGAGCGCATTTCCTTTGAAGTCTGTGGTGCAAAAATGTGCTTTTAAGTGCATGTACCTTTTTCTGGCGTTTTCATGCTCAGGTGTGAACAAGGGCCATTGAAAATCATGGGATTTCTTGTGTTGGGCATTTAAAAGCGCTTTTCCAACTGCTCAAAAACGCCTGGGTGTGAACCCGGCCTCATTGCTGACCGTACACAACTGGTCTCTATTCTTCTATTGGCCAATAACGCTACACTTCAAAAGGCTACATGGCAAGTGGCTGACTGATATTCCATCTCTGTCTGATGAAGTGTGGGAATCTGTACTCTCGCATACGATTCCATTGTTTATTCCCTTCAGAGATAAATTGGAACAGTTGAGATTTCCCACCATCAAGAATGTTTCATATGGGCAGACGTACCGCGTCTTCCTGTCCTCTGTTGTACAGCGTATGCTAACTTTTGGCATATGATATGGAGTTGTCCTGTGATTGGCCCCAACTGGCATAATGTTAACAAGTTTATTAGTGATCATTTGGAAGCGCCTCATATGTGTTGCCCTTTGTGGTGCATTTTGGGATATGCTGGTGATCTAGATATCTCTCTACACCTAAAGAATCGTAATACTTTTTTACTATTCTATGTAGGGCTGCAACTAACGATTTTCATAACCGATTCATTGGCCCATTATTTTTTTTCGATCAGAGAATTTTTTTGGTAACAATTTATTATTATTTATACATAATTTAAATGTATTTTAATTTAATTATTAAATATTTAATGTATACAAGATTAATTCTTTTTGCATAGCTCTCAACCCTGACATATGTCATATATGTCACAGAGAACTTGTGCAGGAAGGAAAACATTACCAAGCAGACTTCTCTCCTGGACTACTCAGACGTTTTTGTCTGGGGAAGGCCGATTGGCTGCACGCTTGAATCAACGTCCTGACACGGATTCACAACAGCTGATTGGTAGAGATAACATTTTTCATCTTGCCACGCTCAGCTCCTGCCTAAGTTGAGCATGGGAGAGGATATTTCTAGATAGACTGCATGCAAAGCTCCTCCATCCCTCTGCTGTGCGCAGCTCCGCATGCAGTGCGTCACAGGGGTTAACGGTGTCCGCTGCCCGGCTGGCATTGGTTGCACATGGCTATTTGGCCCGCCCACAGTCTACTGCACTATACTGTGAGCAGCCCGGGCAGGAGGCCGGTTGTTACTGCACTACATTCCAGCAGGGAATTTCAGATGCCCCCCCCCCATTATAAACTGACTTATAAGGCCAGAGGTTGCCCAAATAAATTTGAAGCTATTTGGCCCAAGTGGTTGGAGCCTTCAGAAGTTGACAATATTGATATTTTCCAACTTTCAGTTTGGTATAGTTGAAAAACCAAGTACTTCTCTAGACCATGCTTACTATGTTTCCTTCATTCCCAATGTCCCTTCTCTGTTAAGATCGCATTCATTTCTTGCATGCCTCTTTGTGGTATTTTATAGTCATGTTAATGTACTGTAACATTTTCTAAAATATATTATATGTTAAACTGACAACCTACATAAAGAGCAGTCCTCTATTGGCACCTGAATGTACATTCGGCAGTCAAGAGTATTCCACCAGGACACCCGAATCCCAGGCTGCTCCTCTGTGCAAAGCAATCTAGTGTTTTACTGGCCTCCTATTGGCCAGTGAAGCTGCCCATCAGAATGGCTGGCCATTAAGAAGGAGTCACAAGCAGGAGGGGACGAGCCCAAAAGTATTGATGCTTGCCTTCCTATTTATAGGCCAAGCTATCCAGCAAAGGTAATACTAACACAAGTTAGGTCAAACTACTACTAAAATATTGCTAATCCTATCATTACAAGTATTTAAGTGTAAACACCACAATACAATATTCACAATACTGTCTAAGGAAATTGCCCTCTTCAATATGGTCTGACATCCATGATTCTGGTTGTGTCAAGTTCCCTCTAGTGCTTGCTAACAAATTAATTCTGTACATCAGCCTCCAGCTTTGCCAGTTACCACCCTGTGATGTGCTGCAGTACACAAATCTTAACTTGCCATTATGAGAAAACAGAAAATTCTACTGCAAAACTGGAAAATATGTCACTACACAATGCAAGCAACACTCAGAGAATTGGAACCAAAAAAAGGGAAAGAGGGAAGCGCCACTAACCGGGAAAGAGTTATAGTGGGCCGGGCAGCTTGGTTGGTTGTGAGGGTGGTCCGACTCACTTAATGGTGATGTGGAGGCGAGAGGGTGTGCCCCTTCTCGGTATGGGTAATTGGGGATCACCGGGAAACACAAGGGGTACAAAAGAGGTGAGAAATCATAAAATAATGGAAATCACAGTGTGGAGTGTAGAAACTCACCATCGAGTAAGGAAGGATGCGTTGTCATCGGCGACAGTGGGGATGAAGTTCCTGATGATCGTGAGGTTGGAGAGGGTATGATGTCAGCAATGGAAGTATGATGAGGAACCAGGGAGGGTTCAGTGCCGGTGTTCTGGTTGTCCTTGAAGTGGGAGTGAGGCTTCTTAGCTCCCAGAATGATCGCAAAAAGCCTCGAGCGGGTGTCTGATGTGGCAGGGATTTAGGTGCAATGTCTTGATTGCTGGAGAGGAGCCAAAGTCTCCTAAGAGGAGTGGGAGAGGAGGCTAAGAAGCCTCACTCCCACTTCAAGGACAACCAGAACACAGGCACTGAACCCTCCCCAGTTCCTCATCATACTTCCATTGCTGTCATCATAGCCTCTCCAACCCCACAATCATCAGGAACTTAATCACCACCGTCGCCAATGACAACGCATCCCTCCTTACTTAATGGGGAGTTTCTACACTCCACACTGATTTCCATTATTTTATGATTTCTCACCTCTCTTTTGTACCCCTTGTGTTTCCCGGTGATCCCCAATTACCCATACCGAGAAGGGGTACACCTGCTCGCCTCCACATCACCAGTAAAGTGAGTCGAACCACCCTCACAACCAACCAAGCTCCACGGCCCGGCCCACTATGACTATTTATTGGTTAGTAGCGCTTACCTCTTTCCCTTTTTTTTGTTTTTATTAAATATGTCGGACACCCTGGTCCGTACTATCAGGAAGACGCACACCAGCATCACCCCTCACCCATAATTTTATACACACTTGTGTGTAGACTCTCCCTTTGGAGCGCTGGTCTTCTGGACTGCCCTTACAATTTTTCCCTCAGAGAATTGGGAAGCCCAAGTAAACCTGAGTCTTAACCAGTGCATACACTACATACCCAACCCGGAATTTTAAACTTGCTCTATACTGCTTCTACTGCCTACACTCCCTGCCGGAATATAGGTAAATCATTCAAATTAACCACCTCGGCTCCTAATCAAGAAGAAGTCACAGAGATGGTCTTTCAGAAGATGAAGACAAATCATCCTTGAAGTATCACACCAATTAGAACCTTTCCCTTCATTAAATGTTTTAGTATTGAAGGCCAGAGCCAGAGTCATCTAACCCTTTGCGTAGGACAGTGTCTGACCTAAATAATACAATACCTTTTTGTAGTAACTTTCCGGCCGTTAACTATTTTGGACGATGTGGAAACCGATTTGAAGTTGCCCATTCCTGATCCCCCAAATGACGAAGAGGAGAATGAGCTGAAGCCGCCATGTCCAATGGAACCAAATGATGTAGTAAAACCTTAAATGAGGAGACACCAGTTTAAGAATTAAAATAAGAAGTGGAGCATTAAACTCCATGGGCACAAGATGAACCAGATATCTGTTCCCCAACAAAGACTTATCGAACGTAAAGTAGTTCAGTTGGCATGTTGAGGTAACAGGCACGGTCAACTACAGGCATTAAGTTTCAACGTTAATTGAATTTCCAAATGTATATACAATGTGCTACCTGAATCAAAAGGAGAAAAGCCAGTGGAAAAGCCAGGAAATCCACCAAAAGCTGAGAAGAATGGACCTCCAGCCCGATTTCTGCTTCCTCTTTGGCCTCTTCTGTTGCCAAAGAAGTCATCAAAGGGATCATCTGCTGCAAGAAGATTTAAAATACTCAACAAAAAAGGTAAAATTAAATGAATAAAAACACATGACATTTTGCAAAGAAGCATTGCCTTTGTGCCATCATCCAGCAATCTGCCAGTAAACATTTATAAGTATCTGTATCCTGGTTTAGTAGTCCCACTGAGCTACTAACAATTGCGCCTCTGTGGCTTAAGGTAACCATACACTGTGCGAATTTCAGCCAGTTCTTCAAGTACCAAAATTCGCACAGTTGGTGCCGCTGTTGGCACCCTTTCAGCCAGGCTCCCTCGATCAGCTGATCCAAGCAGCCGGTTGCAAAATCTTCGTACAAACAGAGTAGGTAGCCAATGAGCTGTTTGATATATAAAAGAATCGGGGGAATTCATCGCGCTCGTAGCATTGATGGCGGTATCTAGTGCGCAGGTTGAACGAAAAATAAAAAAATAGAGCAGTGTATGGCCAGCTTTAGGCCAAAGACATGATCTGCTTAAGACTTCTGAGCCCCGGCACTCTTGCTCTGTTCAACTCTTAATCATACCTGTGCCAAGGAAAAGGGTCATTACTGATTACTGCAAAAGCATACAAGCAAAAGGTGTGTCGGTGTTAAAGGGAAATGGGCTTCATCTAAATATTAAATTTTATGACTGTGCAGGCTTACATATAAACATAATATATTTCAGTTACAGGTGGCATCATAGTCTCTTGCTAGGTTTTCTCTAGTGGACTTCAATGGTGAGATGGGACAACTATGATTAAGGGTAACATTTCACATGTCTTGCAAATGTCAAAAAAAAAGTGAGTTCCGCTTAAGGGAGTTCATCACAGTTCCCAGGAGATATAATAGACAGTTTAAAGTCCCAACTCCAGCCATAACTGCTCAATGCACTCACCAAAGTAAAAAATTAACAACAATATAGCACCCAATATAATAAAATCTACATAAGTCAACTATACATTCTCTGTAAATAGTTAAAAACAAGCAAAATACAAACCAAATAAATCAAATGAAAATGGATCTCGTCCTCCAAAGAAATCTCTGAATACATCATCTGGGCTTCTGAATGTGAAACCAAACTCAAACGGATTGCCGTAGTGATTTCCACCTGAAGGGTTACAAGAAGGGACACGAGTAAAAAAACAAACATACTATAAAGTACATTATAAACGTACAACTATCGAATGTATACAGCCAGCTTAATAACATTAAAGTGACAGATGAGGAAACAAGCATTGTCATAAATATATGTTATATTAGTCCTCAAGTATGTGATGATAATGAATGGAGAGAACTAGAGAATAAGGTTTGATACTTACCACCCCCACCGCCACCTCCACCTGTTAACCCTTCTTTTCCATATCGATCATAGATGTCTCTCTTCTTGGCTAGAAAAACGGTTAAAAAAAATAAAAAAATAAAAATTCACATACAATAGGGTTTTTTCCATAAAGAAAGATAAATGAGCAAAATGGATTATAAAACACCTAACTGTTGAAAACACCATCACAGCCAATTAACGCTTTTATCTCCTCCCTTTTCAAAGTCAGAGCAATTAAGTTTTTAGATTTAGATATATTATAAGCTTTAATATTGTAAGCCCTCAGGGGCAGGGCCCTCCTTACCATCTTGAATTGTATTGTGATTGTAATGTCTTCCTTATATTGTAAAGCGCTGAGCAAACTGTTGGCACTAAATAAATCCTGTATAATATTAATCATCATAATAAATAATATGCAGTCAAGGGTGCAACAACCTTTAAAAACTCAAGAGATGAACAGGAAATAAAATGGGCCTTAAGGCTACTTCACACAATGATCTGGCATCAATGCAGCTATCAGAGGCTACCAAATGACCATGTATTTATCAAGCCATGATATGCCGTTAGCAAACTAGAACTGTTATCATTCACTTAGATTAGAAAATTAACATCAGGGCCTTCGGAAGCATCTTCCAAACATCATGCATGCATTTAGGAAGCATTCACATTACTGTATCTTCTTTCGCAGGTGTCCACAGGCTTCAATGTGTAAATGCACCTACAATGTAAATGCTTAATTCCCCCTAAATGTTTCCTGCAGTTTCTAAATCAAAGTACAGTAAGGCAGAGCAATGTAAACATTTGTAGTAAAGGCGTATGTGCAAACATTCACACATGCACAAGATTGAGGCTCCATGCACACTAGTCGGCTGTGTTTAAGCACAAGAGAAAATACCTGGTAAGTATATTCTACTTTATGCTTACCAGATAACTTTATCCTGCGTTTCCTTTGTGTTGTTGTTGGGCTTAGTCACATTTAAACTTGTAAAACCAGGAACACAGAAAGTCCTAGGCTGGGTAAACCTAGTCGCTGCTGGACATCTAGATGCGCTTTTAGTCATAAAAATGCATTACAAGTAGGGACGCACCGATAGCAGTCCAGATAACAGTGCCTAAATAGGAACCGCTTGAAGACACACGTTTTGCCTCATTATCATCAATGAGCCAGAATCTGCTCACAAAAACAGTCACCTAGGTGTGAACCCGGCCTAAAGCATGAGAAAACATTTTAATGCTTCCCAAAAAGGCACACAACTTAATACTTTGCTTCTGTAAAATTTTAACACCGCTTTGGTCTTCTGGATATTACTAATTCTTTTGATCCTTCTGTGTTTTCCTAAACAGTAAACTGACCTATGGGAACACAGTATGCAATAACGGGAAGAAGGCATTGTGGTAACAAAAATAAAACCTCAAATACATTACTTACAATCTGATAATACTTCATAAGCTTCAGCAACTTCTTTAAATCTCCTTTCAGCTTCTTCTTTATTGTCAGGATTTTTATCTGGATGCCACTTTAGAGCTAACTTTCGGTAGCTATAATATGAATAGAGAATGCAACACATTAAAAAAGGAACTTATAAATTCAAGAGATCGAGCGAGCGAGAGCGCGAGAGAGAGAGATAGAGAGAGAGAGCGAGAGAGATAGAGAGAGGGTGCGCGAGAGAGAGATAGAGAGAAAGAGAGAGAAAGAGAGAGAGATGGAGAGAGCGAGCGGGAAAGAGAGAGATGGAGAGAGCGAGCGCAAGAGAGAGATGGAGAGAGCGAGCGGGAAAGAGAGAGATGGAGAGAGCGAGCGCAAGAGAGAGAGAAAGAGTGACACACACACAATAAGATTTTGTAAGAGTGATCCCATAAATAATAAGAGATGGATATACTGTACCACACATATAACGTAACAGTTTCTTTTATAGATAATCCTAACACTGCAAAAACAGACAAGCACACAAAACAAATGCTCAACAAAAAAAACATTAACAGCTTTTTGGCAATACTCACGCTTTCTTAATGTCCTCTTGCGAAGCATTTCTAAGGACCCCCAAGACTTCATAATACTCAACCATGATGTAAAAGGAAAGTGCAAACCTGAAAAAGAGTACCACTTTATTATGTATGTCATCGGCTACAAATTGGATTAAGCCAGTTACTCATGTGACAGGCAATACAAAAGATATCTTCTGCAGGCGTCAATAAAAAAATTAGGTACTTAAATAGTTTAAGTTAATTTGCCAACCTGACAAGAAAGTAAAAGTAATCTAGTTGATGGCCGTAAACTGGAATGCAGGAAGCATTTTTTAGAAATGCAGCCTAACAGCAGCGCTGCGGGATTTAATTAGGTCACGCTTTGACCTGCTGATGTGATCTGAGAGTGCAGATCTATACAGATAAACACAGCAGAGACAAAGCCAACAAGCAGAAACAAAGCTGCGCCTCTGACCAATACCACAGAATTACCAGGGCTATTACCTTTATTGCTCTGTCTAAAACTATTCAGATAGAAATGTATCAAGAACAGACCCGATACAATATTTCTATTTGTTTCTACAGCAAGCAATCATTATGATGTTTTTAAATCACTGCATTTCACATTTTATTCAATTGTGTGAACCTGGATCAATATTTTTTTTTGGGGGGGGAGGAATCAACACATTCAAAATGAAAATGTTGAGCACCTAAATGTATGAGTGCCTACAAGCATGCTTAGATGACTTTAGCAGATTATTATAGGAGTAAACATGCACATATGGTTAATGGTGTGGTACAAAGTATACTACTTGTATGTTATCTATTGTGCGACGGATTACAAAAAAGGTAGTCAAAACAAAGCACTGAAGCTAAATAAAAGATCTTCAAGACATGAACTGATCTTGCAGGAAGCTAGTAATGCAGCCATCTGATCACAAACTATACACACAAAAGGTAGAGAACAATTTTTATGGACATTTTTGTGTAGGAATAGAGTCTACTCTTTCAATTGACATCTTGACATAGCACTCAGGGCCCAATCATACCAGGGTGACGTACATGCGTTGTAATTCATTGTGAATGAGACCCTGACCCACTTTCCCCCCGACACAAGTACATCACAGCACACCTCAATTTGCGGTTATACATTGCCTTGCAATACCAAACAATACTGCAGATCAGATTTTAGGACCATTGAAGTGTTGGGGCCAGTTCACACTACATGCGCTGGGGCTGTGCCGGCTGCTTTTTCCAGCATATTGCTTTGTTTTCAATGGGCTCAGTACACACCACTATGGTGATGTACTTTTTTTTTTTTTTCACTGCACATCATGCAAAACTCTGTGTAGTGTTGAGCTACACGGTACAAACGCAGGACACCGTGCTATGCCAAAAAACTTAATAAAATGTCACGTGACACTTCCAAGTTCTAACAAAAACAGTAAAGAGGGCAATGCACCAGCACTTTATCAGTGACCGTGCATACAGCGTGGCTTGCTGGTGTAAACGCACCCACAGACAACCCTTCCACTGCTAAAACAGCTGAGAAAAACCAACAGAACAGTTTCAGCACTATGGAGAGTTCCCGCTGGTGAGCTATTTTTAAGGTCACATGCTCACCTTCAAATATTCTGATTTGCTCACTTGCTACACTTTCGGCCTAAGGCCTCGTTCACACTAGACAGTGTGTTCCGGCCCGATGCTGCCCGGAACGCACTGCATCGCATTGCGGCCGGCTCACTATGTTGTGGAGCAGGAGGGGGCGTGGCGATCCATTGAAGTGAATTACCACTTTATTTCAATCAAGAAAGGTTTAAACAATGTAGCATATTGACTGAACATTACTGACCCCCCATATCAATGCCATCAAACTATGTGGCTTATTCTATAGCTTTTTTTATGTAGCCGTCATTCAGCAAACAAACTGCATTGTCTGAAATAGTGAGTAATGGGAGGAAGTGGAAGAAGTATACACAAACCTGTATACAACTCTGAAGATTATGTGAAGGAATGTTTAAGTAAACTTTACAATAATGACCCAAAAACCTCACTCTGTTCAAGAGCCAATTTTAGTAAAGATTCACTTTTGGGATGCAACAAAAGTTTGCCTGAAAATGGCACTCTTGGTAAATTGCCGAAAGTACCATGACGGCGGAAAATTTAGTGGGGGGAAATTTATCAAAGCAATTGCGACAGTTTTAGCCCGTTGGACATTTTCTTTTTAATGTGCAAATCTGTTTATCCGCTCCTTTAACATGTGCGCCTGTTTTGACCAGAGTTTGCACTATTTTCCCGGTTACGCCTGTTTTGCAAAAGTTTGCAACTGTTTACATCTGCACTTGTTCTGCGGCTGTCAGAAACTGGAGCATCACCTAACAAAACTATCGCAACTTAAGTCGTCCCCATGACCACTTCAAGAAACAACAATTAAGCTTCTTTCCTGGAGTCTACTTAACCTCATTTATGAACATTACACTAGCAGCATAAATCTGGCGCAGATATATCCCATGTGACCATATGCGAGTTCAAACACTCGCAATTGCTACCCTGTTTCCCCTAAAATAAGACCTACCCTGAAAATAAGACCTAGTACTATTTTGGGGAATTGCTAAAATATAAGACCTACCCCGAAAATAAGACCTAGTTGTGACCATTCCCAGGGCCGGTGGTTGCATAAGGGGGAACTTGAAGAGCCGCGGGAGAAAATCAGCGGTGCCAATGAAGCCAGCGCTAGAGGAAGTGAGGCGGCAGCGGAGGGAGCAGAGCCGCATAAGGCGATGCTTCTTCTATAGCGCCGGCTCCTGTCACAGGCGGGGTGATACCAAATGCACTCCGTCTGTGAGGAATGGATAGTGAAAGCGCACTTCGCTCATTCTGGCCAGCAATTGGTTACCTAATTGCTCTTGGAAAGGTACGGCACCCCTGATTGCCCTGATCACCATATTCTTAACTTTGCCATTTTGGATTATTTAATTTGGATTTGCGTTAACTTTAAGACCTACCCCGAAAATAAGACCTAGTGTGTTTTTTTGAGCCCCAAAAAATATAAGACAGTGTCCTATTTTCGGGGAAACACGGTATGA